GTCAATTTCACCCGTATGAGGTATGCGGATGCGGAAAATGCTCAGACGATGAAGATCTCTCTCGCTGTAGAAAGCGAAAGAAATATTCCGCATCCATGACGCTCACCTGCCCTCTTCATTTAGCTCTTCATCAAATTGAATGCCTTCGAAAGGCTGATGAATGTCAGCAATACATTCATCCAGACCTTGGTAAAGGCCATAGCAATTTACCTGAAGCTGCCCACAATGTATACATCAGATATCGTTCGAAATCCGTGCAGCTTGAGCGCTTGCATTACTGCATCTCAACAAACCTAGCAGTTCTGCAGAGCGCGACGAATTGGGCCTCAGAAGTATATGGTAGTCATTATTACTGGGTCAAGGAATTGTACGAAAGGATGGAGTTACCTGTGACAGATGGAATGTTGAATAACATAAAATCTATGCTTTCCATTCGCAACAGGGTTCTTGAAGCCCAAAAGAGTGAATCCAAGAAGTATCGCGTGAGGATGAAGAAGGCGCGTTTAGAGGAAAATGAGGAGAGGAAGCGTTGGATGAAGACCCAGACATTCACTCACGATTATGGCAGTGCAGAGGACGAAAGTGAAGAAGCAGAAATTGAAGAACTAGGGGAGGAGATATGAAGTGCAGAGGTGCATGCTCCTAACGAGGCTATCCTTTTCACATCGAATCTTCTTGTAACAGCTACAAAAGAAGTCTAGGATTTTCCTTAGCTCCTCTTATTTATGGCCATGAGTCTAGCATGATTCTACAGTATATTGAGACCTTGTAAGCTTTGTATCCCTCGTCCCTGCTTCTCTGCCCTTTACTTGGCTGTTACTTGCAGTTCACGGGGTATTCATTTGCTTTTTCGATGTCCATCTGATTCACAAGGTAAGAAAATTTGCTTTCTTCCCAATAGCCGAGAGGATCGGGGAAAGAAGTATTGCATATTAGCCTTTGTATATACGGTATATCACGAGTATTAGAGCTCACCAAAAGCTGGATAATTTTGGATTTTGGATAATTTTTATCTCTGATGTAGTTATACGTTTCATTGACCTCAAATATGCAACTATTTTGCTTCATTTCTGCATTTCAGTATCACAAAAATGAATGTAAGACATTAATCTGGCCCCATGTTTTCATCATAATTGCTTTCAGGAGCATGCGTTGGAGAAGGCGGCGAGAGGAGTCTCAGAAGGACGGAAAGCAAAGTATTCGAACTCGTACAAGGGAAAAAAATCAATAAAGATAGGCGCCAGTGGAAGCCGCACAGGTCTCCTTTCCTTCCCCTTCACTCACAGACATTCACAAGCACGGGCGTGCATGAGAGCGTGAGGCGGGAGGGATGGTTCAACAGGGAAGAGCGGCGCACAAATGTTGAAAATTCATGCAAGACGGCAATTAAAGCTCCGCGTTCTCTATTCCCTGGGAGAAAGTAAGCAATCTTGGTGTCATTTGATTCCTGAAACATCCCTCGATGCGATAGGCACAATAAATCCTGTATTTGCGATCGATGAACAGAGAAAATCGACCCGGTATGACAGAAATGGCCTCAATTTTAAAATGGGCCACAGCAAAAAACGATAGGCTCCGAGGCTCCATGAAAATCCACACGAAGCTTCTTGAGAGACTTCTTAAGAGATCTATCAGATGAATTTTTGAATTTCCGCTTCGTTTTCGAGCAATGTCCGTCAACCTCGAGTGATTTCCAAAAAAGTGGCATTTTCGCGTGGATCGTCGAACTCTGAGAGCGAACGGTTGGAGGAAACTATGCGCAACTCCGCCAAAAGATGGATCAGGATAGCCTCCAAAAAGCGTAGCATGCTTTTGTCGATAGAAAATTTCTACGAGGAATGAGAGCGAAAAAACAGAATCCAAAAACGGAAATTTTCTCAGTTATGGCGCCATGACGTCTCGATAACGATAGTTACATGCATGTATTTATTTTTTCCATTTAGCGCGATATCTTCCAAGGAAAATGGCACGAATTTGACGTTTCTGCGGCCAATGGTTGGGGAGATACACATTTTCAAAGAGATGTATGTAAATTGTGACCTTTGACCTCAAATCATGGCCTCGGGCGTGACCGCAGAGAGTCAGCAATCGTCTCCAAGGTCCCTTACAACAATTATAAAGCGGAATTTCGATCCAGGGGGGTCAAGATCCCAAGTAACACAAGATATTCCAGCAACGTTTAGGAAATGTTGATGAACAATGTTGCATCTATGTGTAAATGTCCAAAACGTCAACGTTGCTCAAATGTTGCGAAGGAACATTGCATTTACGTTGCAAATCGCTACTTATTCATTACATATACGTTGCAGATACGTTTCAGGATTTATGTTGCTGCAATGTTGATTAAAAACGTTGCTTC